TGAAAGTTTGCAAAAAGATAATGGAGTGTGTTTGTTTTCTTATAGCAAAAACCACATCAGGTATCTGCTGTGTCAGCCGAGGGGAATCCAACCCCTGATTTTAGCGTCGTAAATCCGTAGACTTACCGCTGTCCCAGTGGGGGACAAGGATCATAGAATAAGTGTTTAATTGAATAATATTATTTCCTTGCTTTCGTTTAAAATGTTATCACTTTCATTACATGTAGAGATTTTAAAATCAATTTATGACATTTAATCACATTTAGAAATGATAACAAAGGACTGTCTTAGGACTGTTAAAAGATTGGATCTTTCTTTTAAGAAACAAATTGTTCATGTCCTTTTTTATTATTTTTTGTTCTTGCCCTGCCCCATTGCACAGCGGCAAATATTCGAACTTATAATGCTAAAAATCGGCCATACACATGGAAGACACAGTATAAATAGCCAATTCTATAGTTTTGTGCTTAACTACAAACAAACAAATTTTTGCCCTATTTATATTATAAGAATAAATTCATATAATAAGCATCACTTTTATCTGGAGTTGATGTAAAATGAAATCATTAATCAAAACAAAAATCATTTTACAATTCAATTAATCATAATTTATTAAACGTTTAATGACAAAATATTTTTTGTTTGTTGTTAAGCCCAAAGCTATACAAAGGGATATCTGTGCTTTGCCCACCACAGGTATCGAAATCCAGTTTTTGGTGTTATAAGTATTCAGACTTAACGCTGAGGCACTGGAGGGTGAATACGGCTTTTGAGACTTTTTGATAATGATTCCTTTGCTGTATAGCGTTTCTCCTTATATTATTTTAAGCACCATACTTTAAACTCTCTATATGCAAAGTTTCACGTTTTCTTCGGGAAAAGAACATCTCGACTATCACACTATTATTATAACAGCCATTTTAAGACTGAAATTTTTGAGAAACTCCATGGGCATCGTTTGTCTGAATTGCTCTCGGTCGAGCTGCATTATTAGTCCTTTCAATAGTTGGTGCATTATATGTATCACAAAAGAAAAAGTTCTGAACATTGTTGTTTTCGACAAACTGGGTTGGTATGCCAGATCCTGCATAGGAAAGTTTAATCTCAGTCATTAGAACAAGTACTAACTTCTGGAATATAGTGAAACAAGATTTACCGGCATAACTGATATTACTTTCAAAAACGTGTCAAATATGGTGGTAACCTGTGTAGTACTTCACCTTCTCATCAATATGATTGAAAGAGTGTTGTGTAATTTCTAAATTTTCATACATTAGTCTGTTTAGTTCGCTCGTAATATATCATTTTTGTCACAGATGAATTATATGTTTAATCTTTTGTGACTGACATTTCCTTCGTATACAACTTCTCGACCAAGTTGAAACAACAATTGGGTTTAGAGGTTTCTGGTATTTGCAAACGCTCATCTGTAATTGAAACTGACAATGGCAATAAGGTATCCACAGCATCTTGCATTTGTGTTCGTACTTCCTTTTGTTGCGGTCAGTTCTCCCTGCACGCTTGTCTCCAGACCCAAACTTTAGTGTGGGTGGACAGTTTGTATTTGTTGTGACATACAACCCTGAAACATTAAAATGGAATAAAATATATTACTTTTAACATAAGTCTTCAACAGGTTTTGGTCCCTCCTCAGCGTTTTGCTGGTGTCCAACCTATAACATAAGAGCTCTTTCCTTTTGCACAATATATATAATTTTACTATGGGTGAAAAGCCAGGGATACTCTAGCTACAGTAGAAATATCGATATCACTATTGGTATCAGATTTGGTTGCCATATGAAGCTTTTTATACTTTCTCTTTCCATCTTTTAGAGCCCCCCAGTGGCACAACGGTATGTCTGCGGACTTACAACGCTAGAATCCGGGTTTCGATACCCGTGGTGCGCAGAGCACAGATAGCCTATTGTGTAGCTTTGTGCTTAATTCCAAACAAACAAACCATCTGTTATAAATTCACTATGCAACTGTGGGCGTTGGTTATGACATCGATAAAGATGATTATCGGGACATTAACGAAAACTTTTAAACTAATTATTCAAAATCATTTTTATATTTTTTCATTTTGCTTTATACAAACACCGAAATACCTGATCTCGTCTAACCTCGACTAAGAAAAAAAAATCGTGGACTTCCATTAATAAAACCGTAAATATAAAATAAATAACGCTTCGATTTAATGTGGAAACAATTTAAACTTGAAATAAGCATTATTCTTATCTGATAAGAATTCATCTGAGCACAGTTTCAAATGTTTAATCGGTGCAATGACATCTCAGTTGATGCGAGCTATCCAAAGTGCTTGGCGTTCTTTATTAAGTTGTCTGCTCTTCTCTCCCCGATTTATAAAGATTGTTAGTATCGAATAAAACGATTTCTTGCCTCTGTCTGGCCCTTTGTGACACTTGTGAGCATAATAGTTGTTCAACGTCGTCAAATTTTATTGTAATCAATTTGTTTGTGAATCACACAAGCTTATCTCGATCGAAATCAACCTTTCTTTGACATACAAGATGGCAAAGAACCAATATGATGCGCAGATGTGTGATGTCATGTTAAAACAATCTTTAATCCCCACATTTTTTTTTTACTGTATAATTCCCCAACTATGAGCAAGAAGGGAAATTCTCAAATGCAAGCTGACCCGAACAAAAAAAAGACGGATGGTTTTTTGAAACGTAGTCGTTTTACCCAAGCAACTTTAGTAGATTAGTCGTCCAAGATTTTCTTTACAGGTGTCATTCTTAATTGGGCAGTTGAGTACCATTTCACCTTTGTTTATTCATTACGAATATTCTGTCTGAACGATATATGAAAGGTAATTTTAACAGTTGAAAGCTTAAAGCATTTTTCTACGCTGCTGTCACTATTTTAGTGCAAAGCTACACAATGAGCTACTTGCGCTCTGTCTAATGCGAGGAATCGAACCCCACATTTTATCATTGTAAGTCCGTAGGCTTACCGCTGATCCACCAGGGGGCTTTTATATTCTAGAGTTCTACTAGAAAGCGGAAATGAGTGATACATAGCTCAAAGGTAAAAATATTAACGTCACGAAATGCCTCGTTAACAATTCAGCCGTACAGAACATCTAAAATGGCTGATAACAGCATTCCAGTCCGTTTCAAGTGTTCGAGCAAAAAAGGTTGTAATCGCTAATGTTTTTCAGGAAAACGAAAGGTTTACCTCGTACCAGAACAATGATAATGTACTAGAACCCCTGTCTACAATTATGTATCTGTATGCTTTTGGCTAGTGTATACTAACTTAAACATTTGGAAGCTAGTTTTGTCCTAGTTTGGTGTGAAAGTAGAAATATTCTGAAGGGGTGGACAGTAAATGCTAAAGTTTTGTCTGTTTGCATCATAATACATTTGATAATTATCGACCCATCTCTGAATAAAGAATACCACTATGAGTTTCAGTCACAATTGTTTATTTCGGGTCTCGAAGATTGATCAGTTCCAAAAAAGCACTTTTCAAATTTCTGGTTTTTGTTGCAACTTCACAATATCAACGTCTTATAGTGACTATTAAGACATGATGTCCAGTGATCACTGTATTACACTGAAGAAGTTTCTATTTTGTTTTTGGAATGTACCTGTGACATTTCCTACCAAAACATGGGGGGGGTTAGAAGTTCTCATTTACTTTAAGGGCATATTTAACTTTCAATCATATGGTTAGTTTCAAATCGGCTTATGATTATTATTTAATTTCTTTACGAATGTATTGTTTTGTGCATGGAAGTGTTTTTGGAAGGCAATTAAAAACAATTTATAGCAAAAATTATAAATGCTTTTGGTTTACAAGTATTACATAAAATTAAGATTTTCATAAATGAAAACAATTTGTATTTCTGTCCAACTTTTAGCCATGATAGCTTAATTTATAGACAGAATGTAGACTAAACACTGAATAGATTGTCATATAGAAAAAAAGTAACATATTACTTTAGTATCTTTTCATAGTTAACATGTTAAATATAAAATTAATGAGTACTGAAAAACTGCAGAAACATTTTAAAAGTAATTTCCATACTAGCACAAAAAATACAATTTTAACCAGTTACAAGGTTTATTGCACTTCTTAAAAAAATTAATATACACCTACCTTTTCTGTATATCATAAATTACCATAATTTTAAAATTACTTTTTAGTTAGTACATCATTTTTTCTATCTCTTCCAATTACTTGTAAATAATCATATTTTTGTCAACAAATGAAAATCATATTTAATTTTTTATTGCTATTAGCAATCTTCCTTCAGAATTTAGCTTTCATGTCCACTCTTTATGCTTCTTGTTTAAATTAAATTGCTATACAAGTTTGTTACAAAATGAGACCATACCAGAAAAAAATAGTAAATAACTATTCTTTATTGGTAAAGCGCAGTTTCTTTTATCTTTTATGTTAATTTACATTATATGGGAAAATAACTACTTGTCATCTAGACTCAGAAGGACTCAAATAAAATTGGTAAAATTTTCAAGAATTATCATCTTTTATTACAAAGAGAACAATTTTGAAAGGTATCGAAAATGTATCTTAATTTAAAAACCAGAACTTCTCTTTCTTGAGATACTATTCTCGCAGTTTAGCTGGCTAAATATTTAGTAAACATAGAATATAAGAAATGAACTTACACACACACACACACACACACATATATATATATATATATATATATATAATAAACATA